CCGCCCGCCGCCTCCTCCCGCCCCGCCTGGCCACCAGGAGCCGCCCCTCCCTGGTCTAAGCCGACCTGTACCCCCCAACGTTCTCGGGTCCTTCCCAGCTGTTTCAGCCCCAAACCCCGCTTTCGCGGGAAGCGGGGGTCGGGCCGGTGATCGGGTGGAGCTGCCCACGGTTGGGGCTGGGGGAGCTTCCGTTCCGAGCGGACTTGACCTTTTTCCTGAGTTTTTCCTGTTTTTCTTGTGAATTTTGTCCCAGTTCGCAAAGGGCAGTGAGAAGTCGAGGCACTCAGATCTCCCTTCCGCCCACCCCTCCTGACCCCCGTCCACCCCACCCGTGGAAGGGGCCTCCGCATGGTCCCCTGCCCTCCTCCCCTTGGGAGAGGGGCAGTTGAAGGCAGGGGAGGGGCCTAGCAGGGGGCTCCGTGGTCTGCGACCCGGGAAGGCAGGAGGGGGACGGAGATGCAGGCTCTGAGAAGCGCGTGGAAGCAATTGACCAGCATCTGCCCAGAAATAAAGTCACTGATGAGGTGCCAGCCCGGTCCCGGGTTCTGTGGGGGCGCCACCCTCGCGGGGGGCGGGGAGAGGTTTCTGGGAACCCACCCAGCTCCTGGTGCAGCAGTTCCTGCCCTTGAGTCTGGAGAGGGCACCCGGTGAGGTGATGGAGGTGAAGTCTCCCCCATTTCCACCCGCGGGAGATACGCACACCGGCTGCAGGCCCAGGAGCAGGTCACCCCGCGTCCCTCTCAGAGGCGGGGAAAGGGCCGGATCAGCACCAGGCCCGCCGGGCGCGGTGGTTCTGGAGACTGGGCTGTGACCGGGAGCCAGGCTGTGCTCCCAGAGGTCTGTGCGGGCCTGGCTGGGGGTAGGGGGGGTGCAGTGGCCCCGGGGGTGGTCCTTCTGTCCCACCTCCTTGGGGTCTGGCCAGGGGCTCTGTAGTTCCTCCGCCTCGGCACCCCCTCCAGTATCTGGCCCTTGGCCTGGAACAGGGGCAACGCCAGGCCCCACGCCACCTGCCCGGTGAGTGATGGGAGCAGCCTGGGCCGCCCTCGCCTGGTCCCTGAATCCATCTCAGTCCCAACTTCCAAACACACCCCGAAGCCGTGACCTCCTGGACCCCCCTCACCCTCCAGGTCCAGCCGCTTTCCACGGCTCGGAACTCACGGCTTCCGATGGCTCTCACGGGTGACGCTGACCCCACGGCGTGAGTGAGGAGGAGAGATGGCAGCGAGCTCCCGCCAAGCGGAATCCTACTGGTCTGCGACCGGGTCTCCATAGCCTGCAGAACAGCCTGGGCTTTTTTATTTATTTATTTATGTTAAATATATTTTCTTAATTTTTTACAGAGAGGAAGGGAGAGGGAAATAGAGCTAGAAACATCGATGAGAGAGAAACACCCAGGAGAAGCCTTACCAGTGCGCCGTCTGCCAGAATATGTTTGGCCACCGACAGAACCTCAACGTGCACATGCGCAACCACTCTGGCCTGAGACCCTACCCGTGTCCCCATTGCCACCTGGCCTTCCGCCAACTGGGGACATTTAAATGCCACCAAAGGACACATATCAAGGAGGCACCCCAGGGGCCCCAGGGGCCTTCTGACCAAGAAGGAAACTAACGGGTCTCTCCCTCTCCCTTCCTCTCTGAAATCAATGAAAATATAGATTTTAAAAAACACATCAAGCCCTAGCCGGTTTGGCTCAGGGGATAGAGCATCAGCCTGCGGACTGAAGGGTCTCGGGTTCCATTCTGGCCCAGGGCACATGCCCGGGTTGCAGGCTCGATCCCCTGTAGGGGGCATGCAAGAGGCAGCCGATCCATGATCCTCTCTCATCATGGATGTTTCAGTCTCTCTACCTCTCCCTTCCTCTCTAAAATCAATAAAGAATTATATATATATTTGTTTTTGTTTTGTTTTGTTTTAATTGTTTTATTGCTTAAAGTATTACAGAGAGTATTACATATGTCTCCTTTTCCCCCCGCCCTTAAAAATCCGGCCTCCCCTAACCCCCAGTGTCTTATGTCCATTGGTTATGCTTATATGCATGCATACAAGCAAAAGGGGGGGGGGCGTGAGCCCAGCCCGTGTGGCTCCGTGGGTGAGCGTCAAACTGTGAACCAGGAGCTCACGGTTCAATTCCCGGTCAGGGCACCTGCCTGGGGTCAGGGCTCCATCCCCAGTGGGGGGTGTGCAGGAGGCAGCTGGTCCATGATTCTCTCCTTTCCTCTCTGAAATCCATAAGAATGTATTTTTTTAAAAATATATTTTATTGATTTTTTACAGAGAGGAAGGGAGACAGATAGAGAGTTAGAAACATCGATGAGAGAGAAACATCGATCAGCTGCCTCCTGCACATCTCCTACTGGGGATGTGCCCACAACCCAGGTACATGCCCTTGACCGGAATCGAACCTGGGACCTTTCAGTCCGCAGGCCGACGCTCTATCCACTGAGCCAAACCGGTTTCGGCCATCAGAATGTATTTTAAAAAAGGAGGGTGATGGGATGAAGAGGGCATTTGGGGGTGAGCAGTGGAGGCTGAGGAGTCAGGGAAGGGCTGTGAGGAGGGGCCCGGGTGGGGGCCTGGGTGACTCCGGATGGCGATGCCCGGAGAGGGACCAGCCAGGCCCAAGGCCACAGGAAGGAGCGAGCCCGAGCGGCTGGACCCAGGAGGGGCGAGGAAGGACCTGAGTCATGGCCTCTGCGAGTGTGATTTTGCTGTTGTCCTGCTGGGAGTTTAAATCACTGGATTTCCACTTTAAAAGCTGTATCTTAGCTGCCCAGTAGGAGACGAGGATGAGATGCAGGTGCGCAAGTCAGTTCAGGGGGGAGAAGCAGGAACCAGCCGCTCCCTCCCACACGCCTGACCTGGGAGCCAACCCTGGTCCCCACTCTGTCTGACAGCCACTGGGAAGCCTGATGGTTAAGCAAACAGGCCCCGAATCCAGATGCCTGGGTTTCCATCTGGTTACCTGAGAGCTGTGCAAGCTTGGGAAAGTGACTTGACTTCTCTGAGCCTCCTGTCTGTCACTGGTTCAACGAGCCCCATTCCCTACCTCACTGGGTGGGGGAGGAGCCAGGGAGGCCGGGACACCACGGAGCAGCCACACTGGGCAACCAGAGAGCTCTGACCCAGCAGAGTCAGCCAAACAGGAGAACCCCCTGGGGAGCCACACCCCACACCTGGCAAACCCTTAGCTCTGGGTGTGGCCACCAAGCCCGGGTGCCGGAGAGGCCAAGGTGGTTGAGCATCATCTTGTGCAACAAAAAGCTGCCAGTTCCATTCCCAGTCAGGGTACAAGCCTGGACCAAACCTTGGTCCAGGTGCCTACAGGGAGCAACCAATCTCTCCTCTCCTTTCTCTCTCTCTCTCTCTCTCTCTCTCTCTCTCTCTCTACCACGAGGATCAGTGAAATGTCAATGTCAGATAAAGAAATAATTCAGAACAGACACATCTAAACAATGCTGTGGTCATGGCTGGTTTGACTCAGTGGATAGAGCTTTGGCCTGCAGACTGAAGGGTCCCAGGTTCAATTCCATTCAAGGGCACATGTGCGGGTTGCAGGCTCCAACCCCCGTAGGGGGCGTGCAGGAGGCAGCCGATCCATGATTCTCTCATCATTGATGTGTCCATCTCTCACTTCCCTTTGCCTTCCTCCCTGAAATCAATACAAATATATATATTTTTTTAGAAAATAAAAAGTGTGGTTTATCTGACATCCACATTGCACTGGCTATTCTGTAGGGAATCTGGCCACTCTCCTGGGACCTCCATATTCTACATCAAAATACAGGACAACAGAGGACAAACAAGGGATAAGGGTTGAACTGTGAAATATTTATTGAAACAAACAGCAAGACTGACAGAGTATGGGGCCAATAGGGAACATGAGTAATTACTCAAGGACCACAATTCTAATTCATAGACCCCAGTCTAAGTGCTCATCGACCATGTTTGCACCATAGGAGACCCGTTAATTTCCTTCATGGTCAGAAGGGACCTGGGGCGCCTTGTGGACATGTGTCCTTTGGTGGCGTTTCAACGTCCCCAGGTGGCGGAAGGCCAGGTGGCAATGGGGACACGGGTAGGGTCTCAGGCCCGAGTGGGTGCGCATGTGCACGTTGAGGTTCCCGCGGTGGCGGAAACTTTTGTGGCAGACATCACACTCGTATGGATTGTCCTGGGTGTGGACCCGCTGGTGGCTACGCAGCGTGGACTTGTGGGTGAACCTCTTCTCGCAGACTTTACAGAAGAACGGCTTCTCCCCCGTGTGGATCCGCTGGTGGACACGGAGGTCCGAGGCCTGAATGAACCCCTTGAGACACACAAGGCATTGGAAGGGTCTCTCTCCTGTGTGTGTCCTCTGGTGAATGTCTAACTGTGATCTGTAGCTGAACCTTTTGCTACAGTCTTGACACTCGTAGGGTACCTTTCTCCTGGATTCCTTGCCAACAGGGTGACCAGTGGGCTCCACGGTGCTTGACGCACCCACTGAATGGCACCGGTGCCATCTGGTGACTTCTCCTCTGTCCAACGACACGGCTCCTTCTTGAGGCTCCTCTTGAGGGGTGGGAGTGTTGCCCTTTTTTCTCTTGGTGGCACCTCCTGAATTCCCAGAACTTCTTCTCTTAGGACGCTGACTCAAAGCCTGTGTCTCTGGATCCTGGGTGGGAGGTATGTCACCGACATCCACACACTCCAGGCCAATTCCTTCCGGAGGGTTCTGCTCCCCCTCTGTCTTCCCCGAATCTCCTGAAAGAAAGCATTCAACACACAACATTAATCAAAGAGCACTTTCAGCTCAGCTCATGGACTGAGCACCCACCCAGGAACCAAGAGGTCACCACCTCCACTCCCTGTCAGGGCACATGCCCCGGTTGTGGGGCTCGATCCCCAGTGGATGCCAGGCAGAAGGCAGCCAATTGATGATTTTCCCTGTCATCCATGTTTCTATTTGTCTCCATCTCTCCTCCTCTCTCTCTAAAAATAATTACAATTGTATATATTTTATTAAAAGAGCACTTTTAACACTACCAAACGCCTTTGAACCAAAGCCGATGTAGGTTGTAAAACATTCCCATCAACCAACAAACCCGAGAATTTAGACCTTAGGGCACCCAAGAGTCTGTGATAGAGAAGGCTTGGCATTGAGAGCCAACCGTCCCCAAGATTTTTATCGGCCTGTGGACCACATTGGTTCAGAAATGCCCATGGGGTTAATGCATCCCCTGGATGCATTCATGGGTCCCTTTCTATCCTGTGTCAAATGTCCCAAATGCTGTAGCAGCTGTGGTCACTGAGTCCCCTTGTACCAGCGCCCACCTGTCCCCCAGGTTAAGGCATCACACACTCACCTGTCCCCACACCACATCACTGGTTCCTGGCTGGTACCCTAGCTCTCCGTTGACCTCCTGGCTGTTCTCAGGTTGTACCCCCATCTGACCGATGGGGGATCGGGACTTCAGGGACAAGTCCAACACGTGGTCTGTGGCACTGTCTTCTTCGTTGGCCATCTGGACATCGGAATTCTCCTGAAGGTACTTCTGCCCTTGGAAGGTGACGACCTTCTTTGGGGAGAAAATTAAACAAGATAAGACCCGGGATGTATCCTACTCCTTGCATGTGTCCTACCCAACACTCACACTTTCAGTGGAACAACACAGGGATGTTTCCCTCTCTCTCCCTTCCTCATTCTCTCTACAAAAAAGGAATTGTTTGAATCAATCAGTCAAATAGCAACCTCCCAAATGGTGGCAACCAAACATGCCTCCCAACATTGGCAGAGGCTCCCTGGAGAGAAAGGCGCCATCCCTGCACCTGGTCTGTGCCTCAGTTTCCCCACCCCTGAGGCAGGACCGACACATCTACCCCCTGAGGTTATTCTGAGGTCATTGGGAAAGTGAGCCCCAGGACGGGAGATCAAATATCTGAAGATGTCCATCTCAGGAATGCTAATGCGGCCTGGCCGCCATGGCTCAGTGGTTGAGCATCAACCTATGAACCAGGAGGTCACGATTTGATTCCAGGCCAGGGCACACCACTGGGCTGTGGCCTTGATCCTCAATGCAGGGGCATGCAGGAGGGGCCAATCAATGATTCTCTCTCATCATTGATGTTGCTCTCTCTCTCTCCCCCCCTCTCTGAAATCAACAAAAATATATTTTAAAAATGAAACACAGAAAATTAAAGAATGCCGCTGTGTACATTTACCGGCCTCCCTCCCCTCTGCCCATCACGAGGGTCCCACTCACCCATTTCCTGGGTTTCTCCTTATTTCTCAGCAAGACCTTCAGTTCCTCGCAGCTCTGCACGCGCCTCTCCTTCACCAAGACCTGCAGCTCCGGGGGCATGCAGATCATGAACTTCTCCAGCAGAAGCTTATCCAAGATCTGCTTCTTGGTGAGCACATCGGGCCTCAGCCAGCGATGGAGGAGCGCAGACATTGTGTGCACGCTCTGGAGGGGGTCCGCGTCCTTTGGGTGTTGGAAGACTCTGAAGAGCAAGTGCCACCTCTCAGAGTCCCGGTGCTGTTCTTCAGTGAGGTTTCCCTGGGGCGGTCTGGCCGGTGACAGGTCCCAGCCCAGGCTGCCCTGGGGGTGCCCATGACCATTGGAAAATGCCTGGTCTGTAGCCATATTCCCTGGAAACGTCAGCTCCTGATGTATAGGGACAGAAGGAACTGACTCGGTAACACGTCCACAGTTCTGGGGGGAAGAGAGGAGAGAAAGAGTTGCGTTTAACCTGCTGATCCACCCAATACTAAACAGCTGGGACCTGAGGCTGTGCCCCCACCCCAGCACTGGGCCAGGGGGCCTGAGGCCGTGCCCCCTGCCTGGCGGGGCATGACCGGGGACCTCAAGGTGCCCTCCCCGCCCCAGTGCTGGGCCTGGGGAACTCTAAATCTCTGGGACACAGCAAAAGCAGCCCTGATTGGGGAGTTCATAGCTCTACAGGCATATCTCAAAAAACAAGAAAAATCAGCAATAAACTATTTAACTTTACAACCTAAAGAACTAGAAAGAGAACAACAAGAAAAGCCCAGAGCAAGTAGAAAGAAGGAAATAATAAAGACTAGAGCAGAAATAAATAAATGGAGACTAAAACAACAATACAAAAAAAAATCAATGAAACCAAGAGCTGTACCTTTGAAAGGATAAACAAAATTGATAAACCATTAGCCAGACTCATCAAGAAACAAAGGAAGAGGACCTAAATAAATAAAATGAACAACTAAAGTGGAGAAGTAACCACTGACAACACAGAAATACAAAGAATTGTAGGACAATACTATGAGCAACTACTGGTATATGTCAACAAGCTGGACAATGTGGATGAAATACACAAATTCCTAGAAAAATATAATCTTCTGAAACTAAATCAGGAAGAATCAAAAAACCTGAATAGGCCAATAACACCTGATCAAATAGAAGCAGTAATGAAAAAACTTCCACCAAACAAAAGCCCAGGTCCGGATCGCTTCACAGGGGAGTTTTACCAAACATTCAAAGGAGAATTAACATCATACTCCTCAAACTATTTCATAAAATCCAAGAGGAAGGAATTGTAGGACAATACTATGAGCAACTACTGGTATATGTCAACAAGCTGGACAATGTGGATGAAATACACAAATTCCTAGAAAAATATAATCTTCTGAAACTAAATCAGGAAGAATAAAAAAAACCTGAATAGGCCAATAACACCTGAGCAAATAGAAAGCAGTAATGAAACAACTTCCACCAAACAAAAGCCCAGGTCCGGATGGTTTCACAGGGGAGTTTTACCAAACATTCAAAGGAGAATTAACATCATACTCCTCAAACTATTTCATAAAATCCAAGAGGAAGGAACACTTCCAAACTCTTTTTAGAAGTCCAGCATTATCCTAATTCCAAAACCAGATAAAGACACTACAAAGAAAGAGAATTATAGGCCAATATCCCTGATGAACATAGATGCTAAAATAATCGAACAAAATATTAGCCAGTCACATCCAGCAATACATTAAAAAGATTAGAAACCATGACCAAGTGGGATTTATTCCAAGAATGCAAGGCTGGTTCAATATGCATAAATCAATAAATGTGATACATCACATAAACAAATTGAAAAACAAAAATCACATGATCATATCAAAAAATGCAGAAAAAACATTTGACAAAATCCAACACCCATTTTTGATAAAAACTCTCAGCAAAGTGGGAATAGAGGGAGCATATATCAACATAATAAAGATCATATATGACAAACCTACAGCCAACATCATACTCAATGGGCAAAAACTAAAACCATTTCCTGTAAGAACAGGAACAAGACAGGGATGCCCTCTTTCACCACTCCTATTCGACATAGTACTGGAAGTGCTAGCCATAGTGATCAGACAAGAAGAAGAAATAAAAGGCATCCAAATTGGAAAAGGAGAAGTAAAACTGTTATTGTTTGCAGATGACATGATATTGCACATAGAAAACCCCA